AATTTGCAAAAAATTACTTACGAATTTTTTCACACAATTTTGTAAAAAAATTTTGTGAATATTAAATCCCTGGATAATTTATTATCCACAAGCTAATTACGTGCTAATAAAAATTTGTATGAAAATTCTCAAGAAACTTATTTTTTGCGAATTTTGACAAAAAATTGATAAAAAAATCCCATAAAAATAAAAAATTTCTAGTAGTGTATAAGCAATAGTCATAACAAATATGCGAGTTGGATGTCCGACATGGTAATGACAAATGTCTATTATATCTTGGATTAAGATGATTGGTTAATACTCACTAGGGATCTGAAAAGTAAAAATATATAGCTTAAGTTCAGTTTTGTTCAAAATTTTATTATCATTTTCAAAAATAAAGAAATAAAGATATTATGTTTATGTAAAACTGCTTTTTCATTTCTTTATTTTAAAAGAATGATCAAATATTTTAAAAGATTAAATCTTTTTTACTTACTTTTGTTGTTTATATATTTTTACTAAGTACTTTTTCATTTTTAGGAGAAATTTGAACAAAAGAACACTACAAAAAAAAGTTTATTATCTACAAAATATTACCTACGGATAAAAATCCGTAGGTAAATTTTACATTACCTACGGATATTACCCACGGATAAAAATCCGTAGGTAAATTATACATTACCTACGGATATTACCTACATAATTTTATCCAGTGGGTAATTCAGTAGGTAATTATTATCCATTACCTACGAATTTTATCCAGTAGGTAAATTATATTAAACTAAAAGAATTGTTACTAATAAGAATCGAACCCATTACCTTAAAGTTGAAACCGATAACCCAACCACTAAGCTATTAGGATATTCTAATAATAATTTACAAATAAATTATAGTTATATTTATTCGTGTAAATATATAAATATATAAATATATAAATATATAAATATATAAATATATAAATATAAATATATAAATATAAATATATAAATATATAAATATAAATATATAAATATAAATATAAATATAAATATAAATATAAATATAAATATATAAATATATAAATATATAAATATATAAATATATAAATATATAAATATATAAATATATAAATATATAAATATATAAATATATAAATATATAAATATATAAATATATAAATATATAAATATATCAATATATAAATATATCAATATATAAATAAATCAATATATAAATATATCAAAATATAAATATATCAAAATATAAATATATCAAAATATAAATATATTTATATTTATATATATTTTATATTTATATATTTACACGGATAAATATAAATATAATTTATTTGTAAGTTATTATCAAAATATCCAAAAGTATAATAAATAATAAAAATATAATATAAAGGGGAGGGGGTCCTAGGTAATAATAAAAAATAAGGAAAGGGGTTATAGTAAATAAAAATATTTTGTTTATATGAGTGCATTACCTACGAATTTTACCCGTAGATAATAAGCGTTTTTTTGTAGTGGAAAAATGAGTTATTATCTCAGTTTTGGGGAGGATATAATTGATGGTGAACAATCCATGAACCAAATGTCATCAAATTTGAATATATGAATTGATTCAGTTGGAAAAAATAAGGGAAGAATATTTGGTTTTGGATCTATAGACAAAATGTTAATTATATCTTCAACTAAACAATCAATTTTTGAAAATGTTGATGTTTTAAGGAATCAAATTCAAGCATTAAATGAATCATTATATAGACAAGAACAAGAAAAACAAGAAATGAGAAAAGAGAAAAAGTTAATCTAAAAATAAAAAAAAAATGTTGACTGAAATTAAGAATCAAGTAACAACCTTAATGCAATACTTATGTTTTGTTGCATTTTCTTTCAACCCATCTTCATCATCCTAGCATAACAATGAAAATGATAATGATGAAGATAGTGATCATATTGAAAATGGTAATATTTAAAATTTTATTCTTTAGTTATTATAACACTTAACTTAATTATTGAATGTGATAATGAAATTGCAAGAATTTAAAGATATTATATCATTTTAACAACAACAATTATTTACTTTGATGCATTTTTTTATAATGTTTTAAAGTTTTGAATGATTTATATTAAATTTGATTTGTTTTGATGCTTTAATGTTTAAGCTTAGTCATTCACACTTTTTCATTTGAATTTATAAGATTAAATATTTGATATGATTATGACAAAGATACAAAATTTGTATTATAATTGTTGGTATTTTGTTATTCAGATTAACTAAGAAAGATCATCATGTACGGAAAATCTTCCAAGCCTACCAAAGTTGGAGATATTATGATCGAAGAGATATGTGTGTCATTGTACTTCTTGTGTGTAGTTTAGATTATTTGGAGAAGTAATTTATTATTTCTACTAGCTTGCATAAAGAGCTTTTAGAAGAAATAAATAATTGTTTTTTTTTCCAAAATCAAGCTATGTAATGAACCTAAGACTATGCTATGTAATGTGTTTAGAATTAAATTGTTCCCCTAGTTAGTGGTGCCCCCATTCATGATAGTTAAACTAAAATTTCAATATTGTGGATGTAGAACAAACTTATCACAGTCATCCCTCATACTAGAGTTTTACAAGCTATGCAACTAATGACTAGTACGTGTGAGTTTTAAAACAATAAAAAGATTTAATATAATAGACATGAATTCTTACTGTAAAAGTTTGTAGACTATGAACTAATAAAAAATGACGTTAGGTATGATTTCAAAGATAGTTATTATTATAATCATGGTTTGTAATTAGATAATGATTATTGGAAAGGAGTTAATATTATTAGTACATTATGGAAAGATATCACATAACTTGACAATTAACATCATTTATGACTTTAAGTAACATAAATTGCACACGATTTTACAAGGTTTTAAAATTTAATATCTCTTTCATTGCAATATTAAGATTGAAAAACTGTGACAAACAATTTAAAAAAATTTGCACGGTTTGAAAATTTGAAAATATCAATTAAATTATTTAATTAAAGTAAGGTTTATTTTGAAAATGTTAATTAACTTAAATTCAAATAGGTAATAATTCATTAATATTTTGATTTTTTTATTTTAGAAACTTCTTTAAATTCAATATTAATTACTTAACTTCAAAATTTAATTAAAAATATTCTTATTTTAGCTTGACTTTAATTTTTTCTAACAATTTATAATATTATTAAATTACAGTAATATTATTTTCCTGAATTTTCTGAGTTTTATTTTACCTGTGAAAAGACCGTTTTGTCTCTTGATTGAATTGAATGAACTAGTCTCAAGTAGAAAATTATATTTTATTAGAATAACAAGTGTTAAATATTATTAATATTTTTAAATAAATAAATAATTAACACTGACACTATTAACGCGCAAGCAATATTTTCTCTTAGTAATTGAATGACATACTAAAATTATTTAATCTTAGATTATTTCAGACTAAATTTAATATTAAATTGTTATAAAGATAAAATTTACTACCACAACTCCATCATGGTCCAAGGACTCCAAAGTGCAACCAAGATTCAGTTCATTCTCTCAAATTTGTGTCTAATGAAAAGGTTATATATACTTGGTATTAATTTTATGAATTTTAGCACAACTACTCATAAACAATAAAAATTAATAATAATAAAAAAAGAGAGGATAAAATGGTGTGGCCACAATCTAGTCAACCTTCTATAGAATATTTGAAATTCAACTCTGAATGCTCGACAAGAGATGGAAGCATGTTTACTTTGTCTGTCCTTCCTCGTGTATGTATTCTCTATCACTATCCTAACATGTCGTGATGTGAACTACTTACATAATGGAATTGAACTGAACTCGAAAGAAGAATGGAAACTTGTCATATTCTCTTGTTTTTTCAATACCCATAACCATTTTTCATGATTCTAAACATATCCACCAAAACAGTGTTTAAACAAAAGGTTCTATCCTATCATTTTAAAGTACTTAGCTTGGGAGTTTTTTTTTTTTCTTTTTTTCTTTTTGCGTTCTTAATAAACAAGCTTTTATGAATTATTCAACACTGACTAGGGAAATCGTTTATGCCTTTTCGGCCTAGTTTGCTTGTAATTTCAATAGTATTTCGTTTAAGAAACAAACTCGACTTATTAATCTACTTTCTACTTATATACTTCTTTTTCTTTGTATTAAATTTAAATATTTCCTCTTTTGATATAAATTTTCAAACTTACATGAAATAATTTACTATTTTTTTTTATCAAATATTTCTTTAATTTTTATATCTATTCTTTTGATTATGGTTCTTATATATTTTTTAATTTAAAATTTGTTTTTGTCTCTACAGATATGATGAGTGAATCTTGATTTTGATCATGAAAAATATTTTATCTCTCTAAAATATAAAATTAATATTTGTATTCTTAATACCATTTTAAAATAGATAAATACTATTTATTTTAAATTTGAGAAAAATTTTATAAATAGTACATGTTGTATGATAATCACTTCACTTTTTAACCTGCAAGAGCAACTAACAGATCTCACTTATTTGATCAGAAACATAATTAATCATTTTCATAATCTTAAATCTTGTTAATTTTCTCAAATGTATAAATTTCTTGATAATAGGAAAAACTAACGACTATATGTTAGGATATAATTAAAAAATCTGACTTAAAAAAACAGTAGCTTTTGAGTGTAGTTAAAAATATTTTTTTAACAAAAAATTGGTTGTTTATTGACTGGTGAAGTAATAAATTTATAATTTCAATAAAATTTAACTAATAATAAAAATATGTTTAAAATAAAGTGTATTGCGATAAAGAAAAGAGTGATTTGTAATATAAAGTAAAAAGTGATGGACAGGGAATTGAGGCCGTAGAGTATGTCTATCTATGCCTAAAGAGAGGCAAAATGTGTTTGTCCCTTGTGCACTCGCATGAACCACTTCTTCTAATCAAACCCCACGCCCACGCGTAAGCTTCTGAATGATTCATTCACACCCTATTCTGTGTTTGATTTTGAGAAGCTTTTACGACTCAGCTTTCCCACCTGCTTCATAAAAACCAAACCAAAAGCTGAGGTGCATACAAAATAAAAACAATAATAGGAATATGTGAAAGTAAAGTAAAACTTCTTTTTTTTTCCAAGGTAAAAGTTAATAAAAAAAAATCCTACCATATTTTATAGATTTACTTTTCAAAAACATATTAAAATAAATAAATACATGTATAAAATAGGCGAAGCACATATTTAAAAATTATTATATTTACTTTTATATAATATCAGAATCTATTGTAAATTAAAATTCAATCTATAATTTACGTATAGTCCATAGTCTATTAAAATAAAATTACCTTCCCACAAAAACATGCTTTAAAAACTGGCAGATATCCCTAAAGTCCTATGATACAGTAGCTGCAATGACCAAGAGGCATCTAAGGACGTAGATATCTCCACCCCCACACATACTATTCAATGAACTGACACAACACTCCCCCCACGCAAAACCATTCATCATGTGAATCACTGTTCATGAAACCAATCACCCAGTTAAAAAAAAAGTTTACTATTTTTAAAACTTAATTGCAATAATTTAATAATAATATCATAAAATCAATTAAAAAATATATAATTATGCCCTGACCACAATTAACAAGTACATTATGCATATAATTAGATGGAATCAATATATTTTAATTTTTTATATTTATTTATCTGTTACATACAGGTATTTACTTTTATTTTTAATATGCTTTGTAACATTTTCACTTATCTTTTGATATAGAACCAAGATATACATGTATAATCAAAGTTCTATCAGTTAATATATATATAATTTTAAAAATGAAATAAAAATTATAAATTATATATTAATATTCAAAATAATGATTAAGATGTGAGGGGATTATCACTCTTAGAGGTCACTTGTAAATTTGTCTTGTGAATAATACATTCTAGCATTAAATAAGGAATTAGAGGTAATAAATATAAATATTAATATTATGTTATATTATATCTTTTAGGAGTTGGATTAGATGATGAATAACAGTATTTAATCAAAGAGATTAATGATTTTTTTAAATTTTTTTATTAGACAATTTAACTACATGTATATTTTATTTAGTTATCCATGTATTTTAGATAACAAGTGTTATAAGAAACACTATGTTAATTCTCTATACACACATATATATAATGCACTTGTTTACAAGTGTTTTTTTGTTGTTGTTGTTGCTCTTTAAGATGCTTACTTGAAACTGAGTGAGAAGGTAATTGACACCTATGAGTGAACCTTTTATTTATTCATTTCTTTAAACTTGAGTCATGATATTGAACAATAAACATTTTAAGCTATATTTTAAAAAATAAATAATATTATTTAATTTCTTAACTCCCCATATATGATAGTTTTAAGCATGACTGGTTATCTATTATACATTAACATTTTGGATGCCAAGTGTTGTGAAAATAGTTCTGTGTGATTATAGACAATTCGGTGCTTATCAGTTTTTTCTCCTACAATTTATTTGATGTATGAATATGAAGTTGAAATTGAAAGAAAAATTTGGATACGTGCATAATCAAATTTGCGATTTTTTGAAGAGTTCACAAGAAGTACGAAAATTTACCTGTTATGGTTAAAGTTCCTTTTTTCTGTTCTTTCCACACAGGTTCAATGAACCACATGAAGAAAACTAGAAAGTGATGAAAAGTTAGGAGCAGTGATTAGGATGAATTTTTGTATACAGTTTCCTGGCACACACTGCACATATAATTTTCAAGCCAAAAACAAATTTTTTTGACATTTTTGTTTCCGTATCTTAGGGGTAAAAGCTGGGGACCATAGAGTGTTACTTGAACTGAAATAATTTAAGATAAGAGCTTGTAAAGCATTATGCATATTTCAGTCAGACAACACACATATCATTTTCAAGTCAAAAGTAAATGTTTTGGCAATATTTCCATTAAGAAAGGGGAAAACTAGGATTATTATTGGCATGGTATGGTACCACCATAGACATGGTTAATTTAAGTGAAATCAGATAAGGTGAGAGTTCACGAGTCAGATATATAACTCTTTTAAATTAAATGTAATATAGGTCTTACAGTTTGCTAGAGATAAATGTAGTAAAGATAAAAGTAATCTTAATTTAATATTAAAGTCATGTAATTTATAATTTATAGAATGAGTTCAATATAAGATTTTTAATATAATAATTCTAAGATTATAAATATATTAAAATTTTGAAATTATTATATATATATATATATTAAAATTAAAATGATTTTACCCTTTTAAATAATATAATAGTCTTTTAATAAAATATTTAAATCTTAAATAGTCAAGGGGTTATAAGGAAATAATATTTTTTAAAATTATGTTATTTTAATAAAAAGGAAAAAAGGAAACACGTTCTGTTAATAATTTTATATTATTAAGAAAATTATAGAAAATAAGAGAAAAAAATATCGGTTGCTATTAAAAAAATTGAAATATTTTATGATGATATAAAAAGTTGTTGAAGTATTATAATAAAGTAACGTTGGGAAAAGAATAAAAAGAAAAAGGATTTACTTAAATAAAGTCATACAGAGGTTATTTCGCTCTTGCAGAAATAAAAAAACCTTCATATCCATTGGTCGGTATCTTTGGATTTGTGGCATAAGATACAATACAATGGAGCTAAGTGGAATTGTATTTTTATATATCTTCTATTGTTTGAATTTTAATAACTTGCGATGTCATTATGATATTATCCCACAATATGGCTGATGTCAAAGATTGATACAGTAAGTTATATATAAAAAAATACCATTCACATTTATAATAATTAATTTTGAAGTGAAATAATTTATTATTAATAAATAAAAAATAAAATTATAAATATATAAATAAATATATTTAATAATCATTAAATTTGAGAAATTAAATTTTGAGAACCTTTATTTTTTAATAAAAATTTGCCACTAAAAAAATTAATAATATATGTGATATATATTTTAAAATAGGTTATAACTTTTTTTAATTTAATTTTATAATAAAATAATTTTATTTTAATTAAAATTAAAAAAATAACGTATTTATATGAAAATAATTAAATTAAAATTTAAAAATATTTTCAAATCAAATTGAAGACATATTTTTAAAATTTAAATTATATTAACAAAAATTATTTTTATTTAATATATAAATTATTAAAAAAATTATTCATTCTTAAAATAAAAAAAATTATTTTTTATTTTATTATAATAATTTATTTTTTAATAATTTATTAATTTAAATAAATTTAATTTGAATTAATTTAAGTTATGACGTAAATGTTAAGTTAAAATTAAAATTGATATCATTCAATTATTATAAACTTTTTAATATAATTTATTTTTCATTGATCTAACGTAAACATAAAACTCATATCACTCAAAAAAAATTTAACACCTTAAAATTAAATATAATATATTAAATTATACTATTGAATAATTTAAATATATTTATAATAAAAAATTATTATTGTTAAATTATTATTAAAAATAAACAAATGTTTTTTAAAATTATTATTTAATTTATAAAAATAAAAAGAAAAAATATTAATTTTTAATTTTTTCTAAAAGATATATTTATATATATTATTAATTTTATCTTTCAATCTCATGAAGAAAGAAGTCTTATCCTGAAATAATGATTAGGCATTTATTAGGTTAATTAAATAAATTAAAAATAAAACAATTGATTATAAAAAAGATTATTGGATAAGAGGAAGAAAAGGGAGAGAGAAGAACCAAGAGAAAAAAAAAATATATATATATATATATATATATATATATATATATATATAACATTTTGGTATATTATTTGTCATTTTTAAGATAGGAAAGGAAATATTTATTATTTTATCTTTTTTTATTTTTAATTATGTTATTAAGTGAGAGAACTTTAATTTTATGGAATTTGGTTATTTACCGTGTACGAGGATTCCCGCTAAGCATTCATGATTGGCGAATTCGTAGGTTCAATTCCTACTAGATGCACGCCAATGGGACCCTCCCTCCAAAAAGTCTATCAAATTTTTGTTCAAGAATGAATTTTTATTGGAATTGTTCAGTTCACCCTTTAGAACCATATCACATCCTCGATAGGATGAATCAAGATGGTATTTTGTAAGTACGTAATTATCTAGAAGAAATTCACTATTAAGATGTTTCGTTTATTCTTTTTTTCAACAATTTATATCTCTAGTAAGTAAACTTATCAGTATGATTCAAACCCAGATGAAGTTCTGACCATTTGTCAGAGAAAAAAGAACGAGTGGCTCTTGCAGAATTTCCAAGAAATTCTTTGATTTCTTCTAGAAGCAGATGATTATTCATCTGCTTCTCACGTTCCATGAATAGTCGGCACATTAAGAAATATCCAGAAAGGATTTTAAGGAATCGCTCCAATTCTATATATGTTCGTTCCGTTTGAAGAAAGGAAGGATCCCAACAAAGAATCGATCTTTCTTTTAGTTGTTAAATCTCTCTTTGATTTATCAATGTGTGATATTTCGAATCCTCATTCCTAATGGAATCGAAATAATCCTTTGATTGATCAGAAGATCCTTTCAATTGGCTAAAATAGGTTACTTAATGAAACTAGATTTCGTGGAATCATATTGAAGATTTGATGATACATTCTGTATCTTGCTAAAAAACCGATCATTGTTTCTCAACCACACATTGTCTAACCAAATCCAATTTTCTCTTGACATGTTTATCAAAAAATCTGATTCGTGCGGACTCTTTCCCCAACTAACGAAGAGATCTTGACGGAATTGTCACATATGAAATTGAGCACAATTTTACAAAGAAACAGCCCTCTTATTTCTCAAGAAGAGATAGGAAACATGCTCAATATGATTTGATTGAATAATTGACCCAATCCCTTATTGTTTGAAGAAACCTTCCACCTCCTTTAATATTTTTTTCACGAAAAACAAATATGAGATAATAAATTCAATCTTTCACTAAGATTTTGAATAGTTGTCCCGAATTCAAGTTAATTATGTTTCGTCTCTTTCTCAGGGAAAGACGATCAAAAAATTCTCAATCATGGTCCTTACGGATCGGATAATCCATATAATATACAAAAAGAAATTTCAGATATTTAATATCTTTCTCTCTGAATAAGATCTCAATTCAAGCCATGATTTCATTAGATATCTTATAACTAGAATCATTTTTTTTATTCTTTTGTAATTATTTATCTATCTCTAGTTACCTACTTCTATTATATTTATTTATTTATTTTATATTTATCTCCAATTATGTACTTCTATTATATTTATTTATTTTATGTCTAGTTATGAACTAGTTTTTGTTCATTGATTTATATTTATATTGTTTAATTGTTTCAATAATAATATTTAATTATGAATATTTGATGATATTATAAATAGAAGTTGAATCTTTAAGATTGAAATAAGTAAATATCACTAAGAGATATTAAAATTAGACCCATTTATCCCGATTAGTTACTACAAATTTATTTTCAAATATTTATAATATAAAACAAATGGAATATGATGAAGAAGTTAAAAAATATATTTTATAAAATATGACATTATTTTAAATGATAATCATCATCACTTTTCTATTGTTTTCTCTATTGTTTTCTTTTGTGTATATTATAACTAAAATATCAATATAAATAGATGAAGACATCAAAATGGAAGACAAAAATCATTAATAGATCAACTACTGTTAGAAGAAAAATGTTTGTCAAATTTAACAAATGTTTATAATATAAAAATAATATAAACTTGTAAAATTCATATATTTTTACATATAAATATGTAAACATTTATTTCATGTCTTAATGATATGAACTTCATTTGCACAAGAATTGATCTAGGATATTTAAGATTTAACCCTGTAGGAAATTAGTGGAAAGGCAAATTAGAAAATGGTAAAAATTTCAGGATTCAACAAAATTTTAGGTTAATATCTCGAGCTATAAAACTCCAATTGAGGCGATTCAAAATGGAGGTGAAAGTTCTCTGACTTTCAATTTAGGCTAAAAAAACATTCAATTTGAACGAGTAGAACGAAATTTATGACAACGAAATAAATTTGGACAAAATTGAGTTTTTTGGTTTTGATGAAGAAAAAACAAGAGATAAATATGAAAAGTCAAAAGAAAGAATCACTTTTCTCAAGGAAGACTACTTACAAAAGATGTGAAAGTCATTTGATCCAACCAAGTGTTCTTGAATCACTCAATAACTTAAGAGAATTACTTTCACTAACCTAAAAGAGTTAAATTTTAATATTTCGAATAAAACTCAACTTTTATTCTTGATAAAAATGATTCAACTTAAATGGAAGCTTTGTCATCACAATTACAAAGATTCAATCAAGGAAAATAAATACTAATAATGATTCATTAACCTTTGAATTAAAAACTACTGATTGTAAAAGAAATGTTAATAATGATATATTAACCTAGGAATTGAAAATTATTTAATAGCTAATTGTAACTTAAATTGTGACAACCAAAAGTCACATAATGTAATCAGTTATGCACAATCTTGCTCTTCAATTAGACCCTTATTACAACTTGAAATAAAATCAAACTAAAATTCATTAATTGATTAACCAAAAACATAATTTAGTCAGCCAATTTTACAAAGAATTTTATCATTATTTAAACAAATTTAAAAACTAAAATAAAATAACACATTAGTCTTGGGATCATAATATAATTCATAACTTTAATCTTTCTCTTTAAAATGTAAATTTGTATTCAAATAATATCTACAACATTGAAGAAGAATTTTCTTTACTTTGCTTAGGATGATGTCCTATCACTTACTTTTTTGAACATTTAAAAGAAAATAATCATCTTAAATAAAAATAAATAAGGGACGTCACACCTTTCCCATCGCATCTACGGAGTATGAAATAAATCAAATGCTGATCAGCAACATAAGAAAAAAGTATTGCATGAATATGATTGTATAGCTCAACGGTGTTTGTGATAAGTATCCCATTCTAAATAACTTTCGTGTTTCCCTCAATCTCTTAATTTCAACTAAACATAGGATTGAAAGGTCAGTAATTATTATAGATTAAAAAAAGTAATTTATTGTGAAAAAAAATGCCTGAATATTACTTTTTAGTTAAAGTTAAAACAACAGATCCTTTTATTTTTCAACCTTTATATATATATATATATATATATATATAACTCTCGTACAAGAATGTAAAATTAATTAAATCATCTATTCATATTTCTCATCTTTTGGAGAAATTAGATGAAAACATTTCAATGAAGATTAATTCCAAAAGCTAATTTTAACTCACAAGATGAACACAATTCATTTTAGCTTATTTTCTTTACCTATATTTTTTTATGAAAACTTACATGCCTTTTGTTCCCAACAATTGGAGGGTGAGGGTAACCCTTGTACTATCATAGTAGTGACCTCAAACTGAGCCCACAAACAAACCAGATATATTCAAATTCCTCCAATTACTAAAGCTACCGCTGTACGACGTTTAATCAAATGTTGCATTTGATAGAAACGCAACAACCGTAACTAAAGTGATCAGTAAAAGAAGGAGGAAGTAATAGTCATACCAACTGCATTGGGAGCAAGCAGAAAGTATTATATTTGGCCACTGAATCCATTTTTGTTTGGTCCACTATCAAGTCACATTACAAAAGTAAGCACAAAAGTTACAGTAACGATTTTTTGGCTTTCAGATGCTTGGTCTTGTTTGGTTATCATCTTGCTCCACCAGGAAAAATAACAGCAAGCGTTTGAACGAAAATGCAATTTTTGCAAGAAAATTTTACAAACCATGGGCCTTTAAAGCAATGATATTATATTCCAACCGTGGACTTAAAGTTCTGGAGCAGAGATTACATACAGCGAGTGAAAGAAGTTTGCCCCACATACCCACCAGCCATAGCTCTCTTCACATTAGACTCAAACAGCTTCGGATTCTCTCTCAAGACCGCAGCAGCTTCATGATTAAGCGGATCCTCATAATTTGGTTCCTGCCACGATAATTCAGAGATTATAGTCTACTAATTCCAAAGATAATAACCAAAATTGACTACAACCAGAGTCATACCGTGAAGAGATGATATAATCCATAGATGACAGTATTTATATTGAGGACAGGTTTCCAATCTTCTCGTAGGATGTTGAGGCAAACATTTCCTTCCAAGTCTATATTTGGATGGTAGACCTACGTATATGACATGACAAACTAAATTATGAATTTGAAATACACAAGGAAAATGAGAAATATGTCACCTGCAAGATTAAACACGTATGAATCTGCATAAATAAAGCATGACTTAATAATACCAAAGATTACCAATATCTCCTAATTCCTACCTTCGTCTTGCACTTAACCTTTGGTGCTTCGTGTGGATAGATGGGAGACACTTGGAAAGTAAACAAAAATGTGCCACCCCTGTAACAACAAACAAAAAATAGTGGAGAAAAGGTTGTTTTCAGTTCATTTTCCCTTTACTTTTGTGGTGGAAAATGGGGATGTAAATCCAACAAAATTATACATTTTTATCAAGCATTTAAAAAAACTAAAGTATATGGTGGACAAGGACATGAGTAGGGGCATCCAATTCTTCAAATTAAACACAAAAGAGATGAGAAGATAATCTGGAAAGCTCCATACATGTAATATCCTTCATCAGGTTGGATTGAAACTTCAAAGTTCATCAGGTCATCTTTGCCATTGGGAAATCGTATGGTACAAGATGTTGGCAGATTCAACTCACTTATGTCTGCAAGAAGTGATACTCCAATGTAACCAAAAGCTCGTATAACAGAATAAGATTGCAGAAACTACAACCTCAAGAAATGTCATAACAAGAACAGTAGTATCAACAAAAGCCTTATCCCGCTACGTCAGATTTGCACCATCAGCTACATGAATTACATGCGGTCGTTCAGTTTGACTATAGACAAAATCTCAGAGTTTCTTTACCATGAGATTCCTATGACCAACTTCCCCCAATTTCTTTCTTGGTCTCCCTCTCCCCCTTTTCATAGGAATAAAAACCATACAATCTAATATTGTTTCCAGAGCTTCAAATGGTCTTTCTTGTATGTAACCAAACCACTTTATCCAAAAAACAATATCATATTTGTACTACTGAACACATTACTCATGTTAAGATATAGGGCAGTCTACAACTTCATATCACCACACACCATAGGAAAGTAAATAAAATTTCCTGCTTAGGTGAGTATGTTAAGTAAGCAGATAAGCTAGAGTAAATTCCTGCTTATCACATGCAGAAAAAAAAAACCTCCCTTAAAAATTAATAACAAATCCAAAACTGAAAAGTTTCCATGAATATAGAGGGAAGAGATATAACCACCGTACAACAGCATAAACAACCACCAAATGATTATTTTCCCCGTCAATTCACATAAAATCCAAACTTCACTGTTCTCCAAGCATGACAGCTACCAGAAACTGAGAAAATTGAGATGAGAAACTATTGCAGTGTGAATTAGCACAAGGTCCTTTTGATACACACACAGTATATTGACAGTTCTTCTAACCCCAATCTTAAAGAACCTTACATATATTAGTTTTTCACTTATTTCTAAATCTGAATATTTATATTAAAAGTAAAAAACCGCTGCTTTCTTTCATAAAATCGTGGGAGACTACACCAAAAATATTATAACCATCTAAGCAAAGATGGAGTATGGGCAGTTTTACGACAGTTATTAAGAGAGTAATGGGGAAAGAGTAGATACATAATGGTATTTTTGTCTTTTATGTATTTATACCTGGGTCAAAAAGTTGTCTCACCATTTATATAGTAACAAAAAGAGATTAATCGTCCTGACCATTTCTATTTAAGTTGTGTTGTTCTATGACCATTTACAAAAATAACAGAACAATTGTAGTTGTACTTTCCAGCACCACAGTTTTACTAAGGTTCTTATGCAGCATAATGCCTAAAAAAAATAAAACCATTTACATAAAGAAAGTAATTAGCCAATAATGTAGGTCTTCTAACTCACTAAGCAAGAAGCACAGACAAAGTGGCAAACAATTCATCATCCGAAACAAACTTCAGACATCATAAAATGCAAATTGAGTGATATGCACTATGTTCCCTTAAAAAATTAATAACCTTTCTTCTTGAGTCCAATGTCATTGAAACAATACAACACAAAACACTTCGACAAAAATATTCTGCATATTATTGATTTTTGTATCCCACATAGCAAACAAAATATACCTTGTAATGAAAATCCTAGAGCAGAAAATATCAAACATTTCATTTCTACAATCAAATAAATCAATTCAGACTCAAAGTGAATTGACAAACTCCTTTTTTCACATCATCCCTCGTGCATGCCTCAAGCCCCCGAAAAGCCCCTTTTCTGGTAATTAAAAGCTACATAAACTCTTTTGACACATCAATTTTTTGTAGCACATGTATGATCAAATTGACGTGTGCACATAAAGCTTAGTGCCAACCACACAAGTTTTAGCCATTTACAAAACAGAAATCATAGTGGCTAACCTTTGTGAAGACGCAACTCCCCAGCTGATTGCTTCTTAACAGGTGGTCCTCCGCTTGCATTCTCTGCTTGTTCTCTCTGCTTCTCCTTCACTTTAAAAAGTTTAATCATCGTCCTGCAACATAACATCAATTCTATTACGCACAACATTCCATTTATCACAGTCCAGCAAATTAAAAACAAAAACAAATCACAACTTCCGTCTAAAAACAAAAAAGCAAGCAGATCAGAATATTCAATCGGGACACAAAAATAAAAGGAGGGAGAGGGGCACAGATCGAAATTTGGGTTTAAGCCCAGTATTTAGTTATTCCGGCGATGATAAACCTATACATCTGGTATTCAATCAAAAGGAATTACGAAAGCACGAAACCCTAAGAAACGAACGAACGTGAAAGAGAGGGAAATCTGAGGCAGAGGAAGAAGGGCAAGAGAGTTGTAATAGAAATGAAAAGCGATGCGATGCGATGCGATGCGGGGGGAAATAGGAAGCGGAATTTGAATTGAGAGGAACCTGCGTTGAGAAAAGTCCAGAGATGGAGAAGAGGAGAGGAGGAAGAAGGAAGAGATTTCGGATGGGTTTCGCAGCTGGCAGGCACCGCACACAGCACTGCACTCGCAAGCCGCAACTGGTAACCTTTTTTTAGCTCAATTTACCATAAAAAGCCTTTCATTGTTTGGATAGATTTTTTGTGACATCACCAAAATGGTGCATTGTATTTATCTAATATCTCTCTTCTTCTTTTTTAAATAATAATTAGAATGATAATTCATCTCATGCAATGGTATTAAATTTATGTTTTAATATATATTTTCTTTTATAAATATGAAAAAAAAATAGTTTGAGATGATTTTGGGTTTATATTTTTAAGATTTTCCCTCAAAAATCTTTTTATTAATTTTGTTAGTGAATCAATGCTATTTATGTTTATGGAATATTCAAATTCTTTTAATAAAATTCTTTCATTCTTTTATTGCAATTGTTAATATGATATAAAGAGCAATGAAAATCATAAAACTATGAGGATTATTGAAAGAGTCTTGAGTGTTTGATACCAACTAAGTGTATCGCATTCGTCGTTAAAAGATTATTTTTGTTTTCTTGAAGGTAATGTGGTTGTATGAACGTTTTTAATTGGAAGAATAATTGAGCAATAATCAATTGTGTACTCGCATTGTGATTAAAGAAGGAGCAAGGTGCACTCATGTAAAAAGCATTAGCAGTATTCTTTGGGAATCACTCCCAATCTTTGATGGCAAGTTGTTTATGATTAATAAAACAAAACATGACAGAAATGATGATACTTAGTTTTGAAGAAACTGATAAAAATATCACTGAGGCAAATATATATGATCATCAAACAATAACAAAAGCTATTGCAAACATGGTCTCATATGCAAAAGTGTAGATCCAAATATATTCAACAAAAATTTTGAAACTTTTATGTGAAAGGAAACATGAGATGATATAGCAAGAACATTTAGATATGAAGAGTAAGAAAGTTAAGTTGTAGACATTAAGAAGACAAAATGAACTTCTCAACGTTGATGACAAAGAATTTGTTGCAGACGAAATAATGATTTGCTTGTCAAAAGTGATAGCCTAAACGTTGAAAACTTTGTCACCACCACAATTTGATTATGTAACTTTTATAATGAAGGAGATAAAAGACTTATTCACAGTGCAAATTGAAACAGTTTCTTAAAGCATATAAGATGAGGATCAAAGAAAAAATCCAATTAAAAATAGATATTTCATGCATAATCTAACTATAAAGGAAAACACAAATAACCATGGAAAGGAATAAGTCAAACATCAATCCACATGACCATGAATAAGTGACCGCCCAAAATAGTGAATAAAAAAAATCATCAAACCAAATTTCTCATAAATAAAATTCTAGCAAAAATAAAGAATGAAAGTTTAAGAAAAATAAAATTTAAATGGTAACATTATTTAAAATTTGGTTAATATAAAAAAATATTGATAATAAGAGGGTGCGAAAACGAAACCAACCATCAACTAAAATCACAAAAATATATTTTAAAAGTTTATTGCCAGTATAATGTATAATTACTCACAAGGGGTCCAATTTCTTGGTAACCCTTTCTAAGGAGCCATCTAGTTTGGTAATTGATGGCGGAAATAAATCATATTTAAGTCGAGTGCAATTAAGGATGATCATTAAACTCGTACTTGTGAGAACCGACTCGTTTCCGTCCGAGTTTGATGGAAAAAACTTGAGTTAACCGGGGTGGGTTTGGGTTTTCTCCGCTTTAACAAGTCGGGAACGAGAGACGGAGATGGGTAAAATTTAAAATATTAATACTTTAAATGTATTTTCTTTTTTTCTATTATATATAAGATTATTTTTTTAATATTTCATCAATTTTTATTTTTCTTCTACCCACTTTTAATTTTGTTATCTTTTATATTAATTAATTTATTACATTATTCTCTCTTACCTTCCTATTTTTTACACTTTCTTAATTTCTCTCATCAATCTATTTATTTTTTTAATCTTTTCAATCAATTTGATGACCGCAAAATTTTTTTTTTATCTTTTTTTAAATATTTTACATAAATCCTAGTAGTAACTAATATTATTTTATTTATAATTTATATTTATTAGATTTTATTATGTCATATTTTTTGATCTTATTATTCTTATTTATCATATATCAAATTTTATCTTAATAAAATAATTATATTTTAAAAGATTAAAAAAATTGATAATTTAAATTTTTATTACTTCGAACTAATTAAATAAGAATTAACTTATTAAATATTTTCTTATAAACTATATATTTCATATTTTTAAATGACAATTTAAAAATAAATTAACTTATATATATAATTAATTAAATATTTGAATACAATATTATAATAATAATGTTATAAGTATTCAACTATTTGAATATAATAATGTTATAAATATTCTCTATATATATAAATAAAAAATAATTAAATATTTTTTTACATACATATTTTAATATAAATATAATAAATTAAAATGTATATTTAATTAATAATAATTATAAATTATAAATATTTATTTATATAAAAAATACATAATAAAATTACTTTATTATAAATATAATTATCTTTTTAAAATTAATATAAATTTGGAATGGAATGGAGAAGGAGAATCCGAAATTCAGCTAAAACAAAAATGAAAACTTAATTTTTAATCCGACGAGGAATGGAAATAATAAAAAAATGGGAAATTGGGAAGGCAAAACCTACCTCGGCGCCGCCCCCTCCCGCGCTGGTTGTGATGCCTAAGTGCAACTGATATTTGACTCACATTATTCCAAACTGTACAATAATATTCTAACAGTGGACAAAAATGTGGTTTGACATAAGCAGAAATTACTTTAGCGTAAAATTAATCTGTGAATTTTCTAATTAATTAACTGTATATTCAATTAAATTTTGAAATTGTTTGATTTATATTCAATTAAAATCTATCTTATATTTAACTAATAAGTTAAAAATTGTTTGTTACATATTAAAGGTGAGAAAAATTTACAAGGAAAGAAAAGGTGTTGTTGTGCTTTCTTGAAAGCATAGGGTAAGTGAAGTCATGCGTCAATTAAAAGCATATACATTATTTTGAAAGAGTTAGAAAATAAAAGGTGTATGCAATTCATTTATCTTATGGGACACGAGGCAGCAAAAGGAAGAGACACAACAACAACAAAAAGTAGATGAAATAGAGAAAAGAAAGTGGGAGAGGCGATAGATATATAGATAATAGATAAATTGTGATGCCTTTTGCAACATCAATCTCGTCTAAAATCCAAAGATCCAACAAATAACAGATCCTCATAATCGATTCATTGGTGCAAGTGGCAACCTTTGCTTATCCACTCACCATTCACCCCACTCTCGCTACTTCCCACTATCAATTACGCATCAAGCCACCACCACCACCAACACCAACGCCAACAACACCACCAACACCAACACTAACACCCTAATGTAATGTATCAACTCTCGTAGCTATTGCCCAAACCAAACAAAACCTTCCAATCTAACTCCCAAGCCCACCCTAACGAAACCGATTCTCGCAAACCCCATCATGAGTGCCGTTAATTTCAACGCATGGCTACACCCCAGTTTCACGAGATCCAGATCCCCAACCTTCCTATTTCGCGGCCTTACTAGCTCACGCATTCCCTCCGTCACGGTTACCAAACGGCCAAGAGATAAGCCCTATTCGTTCGCGTCTTTCACGGTCTCCGCAGTGCTTACCAAAGAGGAGACGGTGGAAACGGAAGAGAAGCCGGCGTTCAACTTCAAGTCCTACATGGTCGAGAAAGCGGCCGCGGTGAATCAGGCGCTCGACGACGCCGTTCCGCTTCGCGAGCCGCTGCGGATCCACGAGGCCATGCGCTACTCGCTCCTCGCCGGTGGCAAGCGCGTGCGTCCCGTCCTTTGCATCGCTGCCTGCGAGCTCGTCGGCGGTGCTGCCGCCACTGCCATGCCCGCCGCTTGCGCCGTCGAGATGATTCACACCATGTCGCTCATCCACGACGACCTCCCCTGCATGGACAACGACGACCTCCGCCGCGGTAAGCCTACCAACCACAAGGTCTTTGACGAGGACGTCGCCGTTCTCGCCGGCGACGCGCTCCTTGCATTTTCCTTCGAGCACATCGCAGGCGCCACCATCGGTGCCTCCCCGCCGCGGATCGTCCGCGCCCTTGGGGAGCTCGCGCGCTCCATCGGCGCCGAGGGACTCGTTGCCGGTCAGGTGGTCGACATCAAATCCGAGGGGCTCGAGAACGTCGGCCTCGAACGCCTGGAGTTCATCCACATCCACAAGACCGCCGCGTTGCTGGAGGCCGCGGTGGTCCTCGGCGCTATCTTTGGCGGCGGAACCGACGAGGAGATTGAGAAATTGAGGAAGTTCGCGCGGTACATAGGATTGCTGTTTCAGGTGGTTGATGACATTCTGGATGTTACGAAGTCTTCCCACGAATTGGGGAAAACTGCGGGGAAGGATCTTACGGCTGATAAGGTTACGTATCCCAAGCTTTTGGGCATTGAGAAGTCTAAGGAGTTTGCCGCTAAATTGAACAAAGATGCTCATGATCAGCTTTCTGGCTTTGACCCTGTCAAGGCTGCTCCTTTGATTGCTTTAGCCAATTACATTGCTTATAGGCAGAACTAAATTGTTGTAGTGTGTTACAAATTAACAATTGTTTACAGAATTTAGATTTATGAAACCATTCGATATGCTTATTGCAATTCAACTAGGGATTATAATAATCCCTTTGCCCTCTTCTTTCTGCCTTACTCGACAATTTTGACTGATGAATAAATATTATATACCTTTAACTTGTTAAAATATTATATCCTTTACTTGTATTACAGTGTAAAGGACTTTCGTACTAATGACAGATTGCGAAGTTTGATGACTTCACAAAAGTAGCTAACAATGGTTTATGAATGTTGAATTGTTTGTCTCGGGAATCAAACCGGTGAGGTGAGTTTTACTTGACCATGTAAATGTTTCTCTGAAGCTGGTTTTTGAGTGTTCAACTGATATGGAATAAATTGGCGGTTGTTTTAGTTTTTTCATCTGCTGTTCTCTTTGGTTGCTGGTGTTCAGTTTGAGAGTCTGTAAATAATTTGGTTTGAAGGATGCTGTGTTTGGGATAATCGAACACTTTTTGTTTAATTCTATGTAGGTATATCCGAACATGGTTCTTTCTGCTGTTTAATTTTCAGCAGAGATGGAATAGTCAGCCATGTTATGATTAAGCAATCAGTTTGATCTTTTACCTTGGTTAGGCATTTTCTTGGGAGATGCCTTCACATCAATTATACATTATCTTAGGTTTGCAATCTCATCAAATGAAACCCTTCTATCTTGTTGACTCCTTAATTTATTATATTCTTTTAAGCAAGATGATCGCTTGTGATTTGCTATCTTAAAGACAACTTTGTTCTTCCTGCTGTCTCAATTTAAACCGGTATCAGATTCTCCACAGGCGAACAAGTTTATTCAGATATTACAAAGCATGGAATATCGAATTTTAGTTTAAATTGTATTTGACAAATTTAGTGCCTGTTTGTTTTCCAGATCAGTAAACAGAGCACGACTTTCAAGGAAGATCATATGTTAATTGACTTTAGTCAATCTTGTTTCCGAAAGAAGGAAGCTTTAGTCTCTGTGTGACTTTGAAAAGGTTTTCTCACTTGATGAAGCTGGAAAGTATTGTTAGGTACCAATGGAGTTTAGATACAACAAAATTGGTCTCTTGTAATACGATAAAATGGCAAACAAAAATCTGAATTTCTGTTGAAAAAGGTTATCCACACTTAGTTTCTCAGGTGTCATGAACAAAATTGCTTTAAGAAATATATAGAAAGAGTGGTATCTTTTAAGAAAGAAGCTGATGCCTGAATCCTTTTGACTTTCGAGTAGTGGTGGAACCTTGTGCTTTTGGAATCGCCAAACATTGGTTGCTGCCTGGCACTTGGAAGGTTGTAGAAGGTCAAATATGAAGCAACTTGTCTATCTATTATTTCTCATTTATTATAAAACTGGGCTGTACATGTAGTAGAGATGCTGACTTCCAACTTAATTCGTATCGTTTATCTTGAATGTTAAATTTAATGGTGCATTACATGCAATTGATTGAATTTTATACTGATGTTAACCTTTTTAACCATGCATTTAAGCATTTCATTATTTGCCCGTGCTCATTAATGTATAATTTGGGTCTGTCTTGTCTATATGATAGTCTGATGCATGTTCACTGGAGCTTAGTTTATTTTATTTTTTATTTTTTTCTTGCTTTGACATGGAAATGACACGTTGCGTTAAGGTAAAGTAGATGCTAATACATCCATCATGAACCCTTAAGCAATCTCGATAATCAAATCATCATACACAGCTAGCACAATAAATCAATTGCTGCAACTTCAAATATTATGATCAGGATATTTAAAGAAAGAGGTAGGAATGGCCATAAACTGGACAACTTCAAATATCAGTATTAAATAGCAGACACAAGAGCATCTTCATGCAACACTGATGTGTGGTGCCACGACGCGCCATTAGAAAATTTGGTGACGGTGTTTTTCTCCAATTTTGTTTTGCCAATAATTTCTTGTTAAAAGCATCAAATTTCCAAATCCCATCCCATAACAACCTTAATTTTGGATTTTAGGTATTATGCTATGTTCAATGTTGATTGGATCAAGACAATTGTTCTGTTCAATGTGATTGGATGATGCATAACTTATCATGTGATACAGTTTGACTAAACAAGGACTATTGTTCTGTCCTAAAAACTGACATGTTCACACGATGCACACGTTGAAAGCAATTAATTAATAATAGAATGTAAAATATCAATCACAATTTAGAAAGACTCCTAGACGAAAACTATTGGTAGAAAGAGAAATTCCAACGGCATCTTTTTATCTATTTTCTTTTCTTTTCTTTTTATTATGGACTAAATTTTGATTAAACATTATAAATTTTGTTAAATTTATTTTTTTATTTAATAACTTATTTATTTCGTAACTTTTTATAATTTTTTTATAAATTTTAATCAATCATAAAACATATGTTAAATAATATGATGTTAACTCAAAACAAAAACAATTGGCTAGTACATTTGGAAGATATCTTCTAATTTGTCTACAGTTATTTCCCCAATAATACTGTTTAGAGAAGCTACAACCCAAAGATAACCTAAAATTGGAGTTTTCTTTGATTTATATTTTTTTTATTTGTTTTTAAAAAAGTTTTAGTAACCAATTTTGAATAATTTTTTTTAATAAATTGAAAACAAAATGATAATTCTAATTTAAAAACTGATTTAAAGATTAAAAAAAAAACCTTTTTTTCAAAATGTTTGACATAAATTTGCAATTATAAATTCTTAGGGGATAATAACGTTTGTAGGTATAAATGTCGATACAAATTTATCTCCCATCTTACAACGCCATTAGCTTGTTACTTGCAGATCTTATAAATATCATGGACATAGATGGGGCTTAGGGGATATTTGTGGTTGAGGAGGGTGACATTGAAAAATCAAGTCATGGGAGAACATGGAGGTGTAATTATCATTAATGAATCATAAAATTAGAATTAGAAAGAAAGAAAAATTACTTTTTCTAGAAACAAGACTTACATATTTATTAATCTTCATTCCTACTATCCATTTTATTGTAATTTAATGACTAAAATAAATTATTATTTTAAATAATTAGTTATCAGAAAATTAATGATAATTAAGAATAAATCTCTAAGATTTTGTATGGATTGGAGAGTGAATATAAGGAAGTGAAAAATAAGAGAAATGAAGAGAAAGATACTAAAAAGTGATATTATTTAAATTGAGAAGAAAATTATAGAAATGTGTGAAAAGTAAAATAAATATATCATTAAAATATTTTTATTTAATTATTTATTATTATTATTATAAAAAAATGAGACATAATGATTTTGACTTATTTCTTCACTTATGTGAAGAGAAAATGAAAGTGTAAAATTTTTATTTTGAAAATGTTACTTTAAATACATTTTGTCTTCTTTACATATTCATTGCCATAAACAAATGCATATTTGGATTAAAGAATAGATTTAAGATAGTGAAAATAAAATAAAATAAAATGAAGAGAAAGAGAGTAGTAGTAAGTGAACCTTTCATCTCTTATTTATGAACATATCTTATGATGTTTTCATTAAGCCTATGTTTACTTCCAGTTTTGTAATGTTTATGTATAAAAAAAAAAAAAAAGCATTGAAATACAATCACTGATTATGTTTATTTGTATGAATTAGCATTGATTTGAAGAGAAAGTTTATTAAAATACAAGTTTATCTTATCTCCTTTTCCTTGAGATGAAATGGCTAGAAAACCAACTCAAAATAACAAAATACTATTTTACCCTTATACCCTTATACTTGTAAGTTTCAAATAATCGATTAAATGTTTAAATACATAATATACCTTATTTATTATTAAAAAATAATTTAAATAATTTATTTAATAATATATTCATCTTTATATATATATATATATATATATATATATATATATATATATATATATCATTATACATAAACTTTATTTAACTTTTCATTAAAATAATAGTTATTATTAATTTAGATAACAAATTTTAAATAAATATTTTTTATTTATTTAATAAAATCATATTATAAAAGAATTTGGTAAAATAGTTAGTTTTATTTTTTATTTATTTTTATCCATTTTTAAATAATTACTTCATTTTACATTATATTTAAATTTAAATTTATTCTTATTAAAATGTATAATAAAAATATTTTGGTTATTTATTATTTTATTTTTTTAATTAATCAATATCTTATCATTTATAATATTTGTATTTTTTATTTCTCTTTCCACCGTTATCTTTCTTTTAATCCAAACCAAATAATTTTACTTTTCACTATCTTACTCTTTCTTTCTTTTTTCATTATCTCAAATTTACCTCTCGTTCCAAACAAAAACTAAGATAATGACAAGTTTCTTCGAATGATGTTACCATATGAAAGTGCTTATTTTTACAATTAAAACCTTATCTACCAAACTTAATATCTTGAAAACCAAAGTTGCAGGTGAATCAACAATTCTAATTATCTTCTACAATTATCCACCACCATTAAGCTTGATGTGCCTAAATTCCACAATGATGATTCCTTAGGTTAGATGTAAAAGTAAATTAATTCTTTGATTACCATCAAACACCATTGATGAACAACGATTATGATTTGCGTTGTTTTTTTAGGAAAGGAGAAGTCCTAAGTTAATATTCATGGATGTACGCCAATGGGTATAGAGGTCTCACACAAAGTTATTTGATTTTGGGCAAACTCACTTTTTAAAGCTTATGGAGTTTTGCGGGAAAAAGTTTTGCAACGCCTAAATTATGGTACATTACTACGAGGATCACATCTTCTTTCAAAGATATATGTTTCATGATGTTGAGAATGATAAGACATTTATCCCCGACCACAAATGGTTGATACCTACATCTCCCGATTCAGAGATTTGCAAAATCATAAACCTAAATCAAGGTTATGATACTATGATGACCACTTCCTCTTTCAAAGAAACATCTTCTACGATATCAAGAATGACTAGACCCTTATTTATAACAACAAATACAAAGGGATAGTTTCCT